GCAACGTAATCTTATTTCATTTGTCTTCCTCTATTTGTTTAAATTAAAACAGAAAAAAATAGAATAATATTTTAACAATTTGCATTGGGAAAGAAAAGAAACTATGACACTTGAACTCATTCCGAATAGTGATCTAGTCTTTAAAGGTCCATTTAATGTCGTCTCAACAACAACACTAAAATTATCAAATAGTGGAAATGATCGATTGGCTTATAAAATTAAAACAACAGCAACCAAACATTATTGTGTTAAACCAAATAGTGGTTTTCTTGATGCACATGCATCGACGAATGTACAAGGTTAAATAAAAGAAATCAATAAAATTTCTTTTTCAATTTCTTTTTCTCCTTCTATTAGTTATGTTACAACCGGAGCCAGCTGGTCAACCTGATGATCGTACGAAACATAAATTTATGGTACAATGGGCTGCTGTACCAAGTAATTATATGGAAGATGTGAATAATTTTGTAAGCAAAAAGACGATTGATCGATTAAATCAAATAAAATTTTTTTCGATTTTTTTTCTAGTGGGGACAAGATCTCAAGAATCTTAATGTACAAGTTTCAAAATTAAAATGTGTATTTGCTGATGAACAACCAGCAGATGTTGTACCTAATGATTCACATGGACATGGTGAATTGGATCCAGTAAGTGAATAAGGCATACTAGTTCTTACTATTAATTAATTCAAATTTATTCTTTGACAATGCAAAAAAAAATCGAGAAGTTATGTTCAGCATTAAAAAAAATTAATTCTCACTAGCCGATAGAATTGGATAAGAAGACTGTAATTAGTTTTTGTTGACATCTTTGCTATTCTGTCATATACAATGTTAGCCTGGGTGATTAGCAACGCTTGTTTCATGCTTTCATCTACTATATGTATACGTCCACATGACACACTAAGAAAAGAAAAAACTGATATATATGTCATTTACAACAAGCCAATCGATATTTCTAGAAGGATGATTGGTTTATGAAAAAAATTCATTCCTTTTCTTTTATGAGAATTTTTCAAGTATTATATAATTCATAGTTCAGTCAATTTCAAAATTGCTTTACACTTGTTTGAATAATCATTATTGGAGACGTCTGATCATAATGTTATGAAATTTAAGTCATAATACTTTTATGACATTACATAATATTCAAAAAAGAGATCAATATTTAGCAGAGACTATGTCGGATGCCGTTCGTCTTCATATCTTGACTACGAGTAGTACTCAATGGAACTAAGGAAATCCTGGAAAATTCGAGCCTATGTATTATTTCGTTAGAACTATGACCATTTCAGTAGATTTTTATCCGAAATTTCGCTTTCAGACAAGTTTCATCACCACTAGAATTTCCTAAAAATTTCAGCACAAACAAATGTATTCTTGAAATATCTAGTTTTCTTTGGCACTCTATATCGCAAGAAAAACATATTTGTTGGAACAAAAATTTTTAAGAGATTCTGATGGTTGTGAGATCAGCCTATAAACGAAATTTCATATGAAAATCTTGTCATTTGAATTTTTCCGTGAAAAGCCAGTCAAATTATGGAAAGTCCAGTATTCGATAGTTTGATATGCTCTCTCTAGTCAGACTGAGTTCTACAATTGATGTGTGCGAAAGATGAATGAATTTATTTTTTTGCATTTTGGCAAATAAAAACGAAAAAATTCACCAGTAGAAACTGATAGAGTTAATTTTGATTATTTCAAGTTATAACTAATGTTTATTGTATGATCGTTTATCTTTCCTAAATACTGACTATTTTCTATATCATTGCATAGAAGACATTATTTTCAATAGAATCGTGCAAGATCACAAAAATCTTCTTAGGAGTCATAGCACGTAAGCCACGACCAATGTTGCTCAATGGCTGTCTCTGATTTCG